GAGAGAGAGAGAGAGAGAGAGAGAGAGAGAGAGAGAGAGAGAGAGAAATGCCAATACTCAGCTCTTATTCTTCTTTTTATCCAGCCCTGGACCCCAGCTCATGGAATGATACCATCCACATTTAGGCTGTGTCTTCTCACCTTAACCCAAACTAAACAGTTCCTTATAGATTTGCCTAGAGGTTTGTTTTCTAGGGCGTTCTAGATTCTGTCAAGTGGACCACCATTATAAGCCAGCACGGGGTATTCTGAAGAAAGATGGCATGGATAGAGATGGATGTGTTATGGTGTGGGGCTTTGTGAAAGGCTCTCAGATGAAGTGATGTGGGAACCAGTATCTGAAAGATGGAAATGATGGAGAGTGAATGGTGGGGGGATGAGGATGGGCATCATGATGGTGGGAACTGCATGTACAAGGGTCCTGAGGTGAGAAGCTGACACATAGGAAGAACTGAGTGTTGGCACAGGGCGTACAATTGTGAGCAGAAGCTGAAGTGCTTACGAGAGTCCAGAACAGGCAACTCTCTGAACACTGTTTTCAAGTTTGGGTCTTGATCAACTGTCATGAGATTTCACTGAAAGCCCAGAAAAAAGGAGAAATTAAGATCTGGCTTACATCCAGGAGCTCTCACACTGGTTGCAGCAGGCTCAGAGAGGGGGAGGGAATCCAGTTAGAGAGTCCTTGGAACCCTCTCCAGGTCTGCTTCTGAGCTTTGTATCCATGGTTGTTTTCTTCTCTTTCCATTGCAAAGCCCAAGATGTCTTACCTCCATGGAGTTGCCCACTTCACATGTGCTCCATATCCCTGGGCCCTAGATCTGCCCCCTCGCCAATCATTTGTCTCTGGATTCCTTTCCTTTGGCTTGAGCAAAGGTTGCATGCATGGTGAAGAATCTTTCCTTCTTTGCTCATCTGTTTCTCTCTCTCAAAAGTCCTCATGGTTGCTGTTTTGTTGACACTCTGGTTTATCTCCCTCCAACCACCAGGTGCATGTCTTCTGAACCCAAATCTTCATCATCACTCTTCTCAAGGAACAGAGGCCTTAAAAGTTCACCTCCTGATAACCAGACCCAAGAACTTTCTCAACCCCTTGCTACCTTCTTATAGCAAGACCCCAAGACCCCTGGCTTTTGCCCAGCCGAGATCCAGAAGGTCCAGCTCTAAATTTTGCTAGGGAAATTATTATCATCTATAACTGAAGCTAACCAAAGCAGACCTGACCCTCCCATAGAAGTTCTTCCAGGTAGAAGTTCATCCTTGCTGGTACCTGGACCCTTGAAATTGATGCCTTTTCAAAGAATCTTTTTCAATTTTAAACACTACAGAAAAATCACAAATGATAATATATTTGTCTCTCAAAAAGGATAATTTAAGCTATTGATATCTCTAGTTCCAAGTCCTCCTGCTTCTTGTTTGTCATTAAACTATTCCTTCCTCCTTTTTCAGACTTTATGACCAACCACACTTAGGATTCCACAGTCTTCTGTTGTCTGTTCTGCATTCACTTACCAGGAAATTGGTATCTTTTGTGTGTTAGGCTTGGCTTTTTTTATTCACATATGCACATGTATATGCACATGTACACACACATACATACATACATACATACACACATACACAAATTTCAAAGTAGTAGAAGGGAGGTCTGTTGGGAAGAAGGAAGGGTTTAGAGAGAGAGGAAGGGAACAAGAGAGGGTAATAGAGGGTCAGGATCAAAGTATATTGAAAAGGTTCATTAAAAAGTATATTAAAAAGGTTCATACTCATAGTGCTCAAGACCAGTTGGTTGACAATATTCTTTCTGACATATTACCAGCTCAAAGAAATTCTTGAGTGTCCCCACCTACTCACAGTTATCAAGATGGAAGAGGCCGGAGACGAGGTTGTGAGCAACGCCATTTCCTACGCTCTGTACAAAGGTAAGTGGAGTCAGTTTCCTGGGAGTACAGCCTTGGAGGGTAAGATGACTTCTCTCTAAGGTGAATTTCACAGAAGAAGAAATTTTATGTCATTAAAAGGCTGATCAAGTGTAACCAGGTCCTCTGCAAATGCTGTTTCTAGCAGTGGTTTAAAGGACTTTTGGAGTCTCAGACACCTTTAAACATGTTGTAAAGACTTTGCACCTACAGGAGTATGTGCATACATGCTTCACATGCACACATGCTCATGTGCCACATACACACACACACACACACACACACACACACACACACACTCTAACTCGTGATTCAACCTCAGGGACTCACATATCTCCTGAAGCTAATAACTGGCCACCAGGAAAAACAATTCTTTTTGGTCATTGCTGTCTTAGAATTCTATCAAAGTGAGCTAGGCATGATGGTGCATGTCTTGAACCCCAGCTTCCACAAGGCAGAGGCAGGTGGATTTCTGTGAGTTTGAGGCCAGTCTGGTCTACATAGGACTATAGGTCTGTCTTCCAGGAAAGCCAGAGCTACATAGTGAGACCCTTTCTCAAAAAAGAACTCCACCAAAGTGTAATTACCTGCAGTAAATAGCAAAGCCTTTCCTTCTGGATTAAAATACGTAACCAATAAATGCAAAGTTTACAGAGAAGATAGATAGATAGATAGATAGATAGATAGATAGATAGATAGATAGAAAAGAAATAGAAGAAGATAGTAGCTAGCTAGCTAGATAGAAGAGAGATAGAAAGTAGTAGATAGATAGATAGATAGATAGATAGATAGATAGGTAGATAGGTAGAAGATAGACAGATAAATACATAGATATATAGAAGATTATAGATAGATGATAGATAGAAAGAAGATAGAAATATAGATAATAGATAGATTGAAAAGAGATAGAAGATAGTAACTAGCTAGATAGATAGATGAGAGATAGAAGGTAGTAGATAGGTAGATAGATAGATAGATAGATAGATAGAAGATATACAGATTAATACAGAGATATATAGAAGATAGTAGATAGATAGATGATAGATAGAAAGTAGATAGAAAGATAGATGAGAAGAAAAAGAGTGGGGGAGAGAAGGGAAAAGAAAGAGACTAAGTTGGAAATTGGGCCTCTTAAGATCTGTCTCCCTTTGACCCACTTCCTCAAACTAAGCCATGACTCCTAAAGGTTCCACAGCTTCTCAGAACAGTGCCAGCTATAGACCAAGTGTTCAAGTCCAGGATCCTAGGGGGGACATTTTACATACAAATCATAACAAATACATTAATACAATATAATTCATTATTTTGTAGATTTAAATATAGGATAAGTCAGATACAACTTCAGAATATAATACTTATGGAGCCTCAATCTATAGAAATATCAATATATCCTAGTTATACTATGTTCATAGGTAACAAAGATATTATGATCAGGGGTGATGACTATAGGCTTCAGGGCATGTGCAATGCAGATAAGAATGAATGAAAATAGAGAGAGATTACAGTTTCCTCTGATTCCAAGAGACCTGCTTTGACAAGTGGCCTGGCTTCCTTATGTGTGGCTATGGTTTTCTCCCTGCCCACTTTCAGCCTTCAGCACTAATGAGCAAGACAAGGACAATTGGAACGGACAACTGAAGCTTCTACTGGAGTGGAACCAATTAGACCTTGCCAGTGATGAGATCTTCACCAACGACCGCCGATGGGAGGTAACAAAGCCTCTGGGAATATTCCTGGATTAGCATGGACATTGGTCTCAACAGTAGATGGTCTGTGTCCAACAAGGTCTTCAATCTAGAATCTTGTTAATGATTAATGATTGTTTTCTTCTAGCAGATCAGTGGTGTCCAGCATCCCTTTCCTTGATTGTAGGATGGGATAATGATGTTGACTTAGTAGGTTTCTTGCAAACAGATAATATAGCCAAAGACTCTAAATGTAAATCATCCTAAATGTATAATCCTGTTGCCAGGAGAAGAGAGAAGGTCATCTGGTTTAGAGCTATGGGTCTGCTGTCAGGAGTAGATGGGTGGAGGTATGGGGACTAGAGACGTGGGATTATTGATCTGGCTTCACTAGAAAGATCAAGACAGCAACTTTCTTTTGCCCCCTCCACACTCAGCCAAATTATGATAACAGATTTGTCGGGGGTGGGAGGTATGAGGGAAAGGTGGAATAATTTTTCTGAAGATATCCACCAGTGTCTTAGAGTGAGGCACCAGGAACTCCCTGCGTCAAATAAGTACCTCCAATACAGAAGTTACATGAGTAGTTAAAATCTATAATTTCCAGCAGATCACTTTTCTATATTTTCATGTTTTAAGACCCCATTTATAGGATACTGCTTGCACGCATCTAAAGTTCAATCAGTCAGCCATGGAGGCTCTGTTCAGAAGCAACAGTTAAACCATCAGACAGAGATTTACAAGAGTGCATCTTTGTGATCAACTCTTCTCAATTAGTTGAAGTCATTATGGGCAGTGAGGTTATATTTGACTGTACATGTGTATGGATGGATTTGAAGGCTGACATAACTCAGCTGCCATCTCCAGCAGCCAGCTTCAGAAAGCGCCCTCACACAAACCACTGTATCATCAAAGACCAAGATTTGATTTACATTAACATATGATCAATTTTAATGAGAGTACTGAAAGTAGTAATGGCTCATGAATTTTTGAGTTATTCATCCCTTTAGCAAACATTGCCTTGCGTTTGGTCTTTGCACCATAATGAACCTTATTACACATCACAAGGCTTTCGTTAATGGAGGGCAAGGAGAGCTGCAAGTGCATTAATTAATTGGTTCATAAATAAATCCCTCTGTGTACATTGTTCTATTTAAATAAGGTCAGGTGGTAAATAAATAAACTCAGACACATAATAGCATTATACATTTAATTTTATTAACTCAGCTGAAGGTGGTTAGGATAAAGGACACAGTGGTTAAGAGTTTGAGTGCCATATTGGCTGTCTGTGTGTCCTTGGGCAAGGTTCTCAACTATACACTGGCTCAGTTCCCTTTTACAGTGCTATGCTGAAGCCAACTCATACTGGCTTGCAAAAATTAGCTGCTAAATTTTTCAGAGATTTGCGGGAAGTTACTTGTTGAATATAGTCATTATTAAAAATCAAACCGTTTAAGTTTACAATTTGAATAAATCTCATGAAAGCCCAAGGTAAGAAATAACCAAGCAAATAGCTTTTTGTAGAGCTAGAACATACATTCACTCTGAAAGCATGAAGCCCTGAGTTTAAATCACCAACAGTCACATAAAAATCTGGGCATGGCTGTGTGTGTCTGCAAAATCAGCATTGAGGGACGGAGACTGGTAGATTGCAAGAGCTCTCTGTCTAGACAAGCAAGCTAATGAGACAAGCTTCATGTTTAGAAAAAGGTCCAGACTCAGGACCATAAAGAGGTTAGTAACAGAAGAAGAGATGTGATGTCTTGCTCTGATCGTTGCATGAGCACAAACAGGGAGCACGCCTGCACATGCACACACATGTACCACGCACATACAAAGCTCCCTCCCCATGACTTCTTGGTTATTTTGCTGTACTTAGGAATTATGTTCGGGGTTACTTTTGTTGCTGCCACCTGCATTATATAGTGGTGTGATCCTCCATTATCTATTCCCAGTTTTGCATTCTGCTGTGTCTCAGTGATAGCTGAAAATACACTATGGCAGGAGTATGTGCACACTGGGGGTCAGCAGACACTACAACAGGGTCTGTGTTTTGCTCAGACAGCTATTGTTAAATATTTGTCAGGCTCACCCGAAAACAAAGGGAATTGCTGAAGTACCTACCTTCCCTTTTGTGTTGTTGCACTGATTGAATTAGATGGTATTTCTAGAGGACTTAGAACATTGGCTCCTTCTAAGCTCTGTACTCGTATCCACTTAACAGTCAATTTTACGACGACGTCACGCAGCCCTTTACAACGCACGCAGCAGTTTCCTGGCCACTTGCATCAACCCACAGCAGAGATGATCTCGTTTTGTTGACAAACGAATGAGAGCACCATGGATGTTAAAGGATGGGGGTTCCCGGTGGTGTCTGGAGGGCTACTCTGGAAGAGCATGGGGGACCTGGGTTGCTTCATTTCGTCTTCAACAAGCAGAACAAAACAAACTGAGGCTGAGATACAAAAATCTTGTCTGCCTCTTTGAGCTAGAGAATGGTAGGATCAAGATCTGGAAACAGAGGTGTGTCCGTCTGCCAAGCCTCTCCTTTCCCATATGCAAGTGGTTCTCAGTGTGGTCCTAGGACGAGTGACAGTGTTAGTGGTGTAAACTGCTGGGTGGTTTCTAACTCAAGCACACACACACACACACACACACACACACACACACACACACACACTTAGAATGCTTTGAGTACAGCGGAGAAGATGCTATGTTCCCCAGGTGAGCCCTGCTCTGTTAATCCCAGAGAGATCTAAAGAGTGGAAGAATCCAAGGAACACTTAACAATTTTCCCTAAGCAATGAAAGTGAGTCTATGAAAACAGCCTAAAGACAGACACAAAACCCACCAATGCTGCCATTAAAATGAGGGCCAACCAAGGAACTGAGGGAGTTAAGCAGGCTGTCTTTAGGGTGGAATCACAGAGTCAGTGGGAACCAGGCCTGGGCTCCTGAGAATAGACATCATAGGCTTCCGCTGGAGGTTTTTATGTTGTCAGACTTTGTACCTTCCTCTTTAATTGCCAAAAATAGGATCTTAAAGGCCCTTTGAATCTGTGAGTATTGGCAATGAAGCTAGCTCATAATAAATATCATGGCAATCATGTAATACACTTAAGAGCTGACACAATGAGCACCCCTGGATTGTGGCTGAAGTGAGCACTGATCTTTCTTTAAACTCTTAGCAAGGCTAGGCAGCATGGCTCCTGCCTGTCATCTCAGCATTGGGGAAGCTATGAATCCAAAGCCAGCATGGATTATGTAGTGAGTTCAGGCCAGCTTGGGATACCACACTAAGACGCTGTCAAAAATAAATAAGAAAAAAAAAAAGGATTTCTGGAAAAGCTCTGTAGGATAATGTTTACCAAGGACTAAGAAAGTATTGACCCAGGGTCCAGTGACTCACTGCTGTGTCACAGGCCAGACCATTACTAGGCAGTATGTGGTTTGATGGGTTCTGTTTTGACAATTGCACTGGGAACTCTGTCACTGTAGAGAAGGTCAGAGTTCACCTAGGGAGGGCAGCAGATCCCACAGTGTGTACTGTTGCACCGGTAGTTGGTTCACAGTCAGTATCTACTGTAGATACCCACCGTTGGCTTCTGCTCCCGGATGCTTTTCATGCCGCGTGCCTGCGTCAGCACCTGGCCCGTGTTGCGCTTCAGTGGGCATGCTATCTCCACCTAAAAAAGAGCCCAGGTCACATTCGAAGGCTCCACCTTGGTGTTCTCCCACCTAGAGGCAGAAAAGTGAATTTTATTGTCAAAGCAGGATGGAGAGAGAAGCTGGAGGTCCTAGGACTCTGTGGCTGAAATACAGGAACACCTTGTGTTTTCTTTATCGATCTCACGGTACCTGCTCTCTCCTGCTCTTTCTCTTCAGTCGGCTGACCTGCAGGAAGTCATGTTCACGGCCCTCATAAAGGACAGGCCCAAGTTTGTCCGCCTCTTCCTGGAGAACGGTCTGAACCTGCAGAAGTTTCTCACCAACGACGTCCTCACGGAGCTCTTCTCCGCCCACTTCAGCACCCTCGTGTACCGGAACCTGCAGATCGCCAAGAACTCCTACAACGACGCGCTCCTCACCTTCGTCTGGAAGCTGGTGGCAAACTTCCGTAGAAGCTTCTGGAAGGAAGACAGAAGCAGCCGGGAGGACTTGGATGTGGAACTCCATGTACGTAATGGTGGAAACAGTGAAGCTGCCTGAATTCAGTTTTTCCGCTTCCATATTTCCGTTCCCCAGAATTCCGTTCTCTGCCTCTATCTTTCCCGTTCTCTTCCTGATTGCCGTAAAGCAGCTAGTAGGGTGGCATGCATTTTCTCTACCATCTTTTCTAAAAAAATAAAGTCACTGGTAAGTTTTCTAACGTCTCGCTCTAGTCCCTGGCTCTGTTGAGTTCCATCATTTCTAGATCACAGGGCTTGGGTGACACACTTTCCGAGGCTATTTGATGGGGAACAGGGACAAACAGATGGCTTTCCGCTCGTGGTTCAGCTCCCTGTTGCCCAGGTGAAAGAATGAAGGCCTGCCAGTCGTTCTGTGGATAAATGGAGCTGTGGAAATTTCAGCTAGAGCAGATGTGAATGCCCCGGGATTCCTTTCTGCGAATGGGCAGGTCCAGTTCCAGAACAGTCATTGCCAACATTTGCTCTGATCAGTGTTCCTGTGCTAGTGAGCGCCCCGATTGCCTCTCACCTAAAGGGGACCATTTGGGAGCATAGTGCAGAGAGCTGCTAGCAACACAGCCACGGCTGCCTGCTTGGCCCTGTGCCTTCTGTTGGCCTCTTTCTTTCCTGACTTCATTTCCTCACTCTCTAAATAAAAAAACTTTGCTTAAATTCTTATCTCAGGATTGCTTCTGGGGAAACCTAAACTAGATTGTTACCATTTGTAGCTCTGAGATTTGTGTCATTAGCATTCGTAGCTGAGATTTTTAAGTGTGTGTGTGTGTGTGTGTGTAAATGAGCTCGCTGTGTGTTTGAATTGAAAGTGTACATCTTCTGTTTGACAGTATTTATGTTAAAATCTTGAAACACAGTACAAAACTGGGCCTCACATGTACAGTGTAGAGTTTAGTCAAATCAAGAGGGGAGCCGTAGGAGGGGACACACACACTTTCCATCGGAAAACATTCCTTGAAGATACAGAATCTTAAATATGAGCTAGACCTCCAATCTTTGAACGACAGCCCAAAGAAATGAGCACATTTTACTTGGTGACAATTGGATACAAGGCACAGGAAAGTTGGATTTTATCTGACCGCTTCTCTTTCCCCTCTGTCTGAGAAACTGATCTGTGGCATGGAGAAGAATCGCTCTTCTCTATGGTGCATCAGAAGTCATTTAGTCTCTGAATTGCTCTCGGCACTCCTCCCCCGCTTTTACCTTCCCATACAGTTGTACTTTGTCTTTGATGCTGGATGAAAGATTTTGTGTCAAATCATACCATAGCCTGCTGAGCGACAGTGAGCAATGAGAATCGCACCACTGTGCTGCTAAAACAGACTCAGCCCCAAGCCCCAGAGGTCTCCGAGCAGAGGGCCTGTTTCTCATGCTTTCTGACCACCCCATTTTATTATTAAAACAGTGTACCGAAAGTGGGTTACATTTGCATGTGGTGACCCCATGTTCTCACCCCTCTCAGGATGCATCTCTCACCACCCGGCACCCTCTGCAAGCTCTTTTCATCTGGGCCATCCTCCAGAACAAGAAGGAACTCTCCAAGGTCATTTGGGAGCAGGTAAATGTTCAGGTCCACACTGAATTGATGCCAAATGCATGCTGTGTCCTAGGAGTCTGGTCTAACCTACACTCATGTCTAGTTTAAAATTTGGAGCATCTGGTGCCCAGGACCATGCCTGTGCCTCTGTTTGCACATCCTTGGAGGTGTGCCTAGGATGGGTGGTCCCCGGAAAGGAGTCAGGTAGGGTCCTCCAGTCCACTCCTGCTCCCCATGGGCCTCTGCATTATTTTTTTCCCAAGTATAAGAAGTCCTGAAATTTAACTTAAGAAATTAATTTCTGATCCCCAAAACAATGTATACATACTATTGCCATTGCCCTTGGTTACTTCCCAGAGGTTGAAACTACCACATACCTATTGCTGAAGAAACTGCATACTTTGGACATAGGACCTGGAAGACTTGAGGTGGATGTGATGTGCAAACCTACTTCTATAGGTCTAGCTTCCATAGTGTCTGAAGGTGCTAGACAAGCGCCAAGGGAGGGGAGCAATCAACAGCTCTCCCCAGCTGTTATGCCCTTGAAACACAACCACGGGCAGAATGGCAAGATATATCCCTCAAGGTGCAATGGTGGTGCTAAGAACTTAGTGATAACCAGCATCTGTCTAATTGGACAGAAGGCCTTTATAACAGGAGGTCAAAACATGCCTGGCACTATAAACATAGCCAGCTGCCTAGGGGCTAAGTCATGGGTCTCGGAGGAGAGCCTCATACCCTGGTTTTCATAAACCAGTATAATTCCTAACTGCATTGTAAGTCCTTACCCTTCGACCCACAGAGAAGTGCACCCCTCATCAACGAAACTTTTCTTTCCAAATCTTACTTTGTTTTTACTAAATCATTTATCTGTAAATTTATTCACAATATTAAGACAAAAAATTAAACAAATCACATGGTCAATAGTTAAAATTCAGGTCTGGTAAGTTATTATAGAATATAGAATTTTTGGATCCTCGGTGATTTAACAAAAACGTCTAATGCTTTTAACAACACAGGCTTGCAGGAATTAGAATTCTATTGCAATGATTTGGAAATTTTAGAAGGTTATCAACTATGGTAAGAGACAACAACCTCAACCAAATTGAGATGGCATATTTCAAACTTTAATTAAGTACTACCCAGTTAAATATTCAATTCACATCTGAACTACATATACAATTTAAAAGGTTCCCTATATACATTAAATTAAAATTTATTTACTGATTAAAAAAATTAATTTCTTAGCCCTTACCTCACACGCACAAGGCCTTAGGCTTCCCCAGCACTAAGTAATAATAAGATTAAAATAAAAACAATGATCTCTTGCTTAATTCCATTATGAACCAGGAGGTAGGACCTATAAAAATTCTGCTTGAAGTATTTATGGAGACTTTTCTTTGTGGTTTGGTATGTCACGGTTTCTATAAATATGGATACTTGTGCTTCCGTATGCACTTCTGTCCTTGGCTGCTGAATTCAGACACAACCTTCAGTTACATGGCGCAGGTCTTCAATGTTCTTATTTTCCCTCCCTGCATCCTGGCTGTTATAGCATGATAACATCGAGATAAGGGGTCAGTCAGGCTTGCTGTCATCAGAGTCTGAATGCCCCCCAATACTTATCCAGGTATTTTCTTTTTAGACGCTGATTCTACCTCCAAGACCACTGATAGTTTACTGAGGTCCAAGTCTGTTCCAAGCTCATCTCAGACTTGACTTGAAATCACAATGCGTAGTTGACTTTGCCATCTCCTGCTTGTCTATACTTTTCAAAAGTTAATGTCAATGCTTCAAGAGACTATGCATTAACCAACATTTCCCCATCCCTGTCACCCCCACCCCCTGCGTGCCTCCAAAAGACCAAAGGCTGTACTCTGGCAGCCTTGGGAGCCAGCAAGCTTCTGAAGACCCTGGCTAAAGTCAAGAATGATATCAACGCTGCTGGGGAATCAGAGGAACTGGCCAATGAATATGAAACCCGGGCTGTGGGTGAGTAGCCCATAGCGTCTGCCAAGATGTCTCACCCAGAAGGCTTGGGAGGGAAATGGAAGTGGGGAGGGGCTGTTTTAGGTAAGGAGGGATAGAGGATCCTGAGGCCTTCCCAGAGAGCAAGACCCTTTCTGCCTGTGTCCAGAACCCGTCAGAGAGGGTCCTCCCTAGGTGGTGGAGGCAGCTGAATTCCATAGGCATGTAACAACACCCTCTGCATTAAAGAGCCCTGCCGACTATGTTGTGTCTGAAGAAAACACCCATGTAGCAAGGGTGACATTTGGTTAGCTTTCTCTCTGCCTTCTGTATGCCTGGGTCCTCATGCCCCATCTGTTCAGGGTTTGATGGGGGCCAGGCAGGCCAGGTTCCATGTCCACCAGCTGAGCCCAGCCCTCTTCTCCGTGACGATGCAGAGCTGTTCACCGAGTGCTACAGCAATGACGAAGACCTGGCAGAGCAGCTGCTGGTCTACTCCTGTGAAGCCTGGGGCGGGAGCAACTGCCTGGAGCTGGCGGTGGAGGCCACAGACCAGCATTTCATCGCGCAGCCTGGGGTCCAGGTAAGCGAAAGCCGGGCCTTGAAAACTGTGCCCAGGAATAAGTCTGACATCACATGCTACCAGTAGCATCAAGGACATGGCATTAGGAGTCCACCTTCCTCATCCTGTGTAAAAAAAAAACGTTGAGGGGTTCCCTGGGTGACAATGTGGAAGATGTGAAGACGTGTGCTTTTATGAAAAGCCTCACCTCAGGAGATGGCACAGGAATGCACTGGTCAACTCTCCACCACTGTAGCGAAATGCCCGAGGTGATTACCTTATAAAAAGCAGAGGTTTACTTTGGTTCACAGGGTTTGGAGGTTTTAGTTCATGTTTGGCTGTGCCATTGCTTCTGAATACATCATGAGACAGGGCATTATGGCCAGAGCTATGATAGAGGTACACACTCACCTCATGGCAGCTAGCAAGCAAGGAGGTGGGGGGCAGAGGAGGAACCAAAGTCTCTTCAAAGGTATAACTCCCAAGAGCCTAAGACATCCCCCTAGGTCCCATCTTCTTAAAAATCGGACCACCTTCCCAAATGTCACACTGGAAACGATGCCTTTAGGGATGGACCTTAGGAAAACATCTAAGACCCAAATCACAGTGTGGTGCCTAGCTTTAATCGTCAACTTGACATACTGTAGAATCATCCAGAAAGAGTCTCAGGAAGGCATTGTCTAGATAGGTTGGTCAGTAGGTGTATCTTTGTGT